ATCGGATAAAGAAAGGTATTTATCTGTATTTTATTGGCTATGTGAAGGCAATCAATTGTGTAGATCGTAACAAAATATGGGTAACGTGGCAAAGAATGGGAATTCCAGAACACTTCGTTGTGCTCATGTAGAACCTATGTATAGAGCAAGAGGCAGTTATTGGAACAGAACAAAGATTTAAAATGAGGAAAGTTGCGTGTCAGGGTTGTATCCTTTCACCATACTTATTCAATCTGTGGGCTGAGCATGTAAAAAGCTGGTCTGTACAAAGAAGAACACGGCAGCAGGATTGAAGGAAGACTCAGTAACAACCTATGATGTGTGGACACAGCCTTGTTTGCTGAAAATGAAGAGGGCTTGAAGCACTTACTAAGGAAGATCAAAGTCTGGAAACACCTGCACTATGGATCACACCTCAACCAATAGAAAACAAAAGCCAGCAAGACAGAGCCAGTATGAATCCCCTCCGATCATAGCGGAGGGTGAACAGCCTTGTTAGCAGGCAGAGAGCATTGTAAAGTTGATTATAGCAGACGTAGTGAAGTCAAATGTAGTATCGTTTTATCTCCTTTTGACTCATTTTAAAGCTGTTTCAGTTTTTTTTAAAGGTGTAGGGGAAATACACATGAATCAATCCCCTGGTGAATCCCCTCCGACCATGGACCAGGTATATGAATGGATAGCCTACTAACATAAGGTGACCAGATTTTAACATTGGTAAAGCGGGACACCATTGATAAAACTCATATCCTGGCAAAATAGCCACATGGCAGCCGAAAAACATATACCCTAGCTTGTTTGTTGTGCATTCTTTCCAAAAATCGGGACTTTTTAAAAACACCACGGGACGCGGGAAAAATTATAAAAAATCGGGACTGTCCCGCCAAAAGCAGGACGTCTGGTCACCTTATCTAACATGCAGACTGCACTGGAAAGTGGATCGCTGCAAATGCAGTTAGGTTAAAATTTAGAACCCTGGCATTCGATTGCCCTTAGGATCTAGTTAAATTTATCCTACTTTTTAATATTTTCTACTTGCTTTTCAATTGAGGTTTTCCCATCTGTTTTACTTTGTATTCTTGTTCGGTTCTTTTGCTTGTTTGCTTGTTTTTTAATGTGTTTGTACATATGAAATCCAGGATAGGTAAATTGGTAGAGACAGTAACTGGACTCATGGTTCCTTGTGGGTGTGACAGGGGAGGTTGAGGAGAAGTAGGGCGCTAACAACAATGAGCATAATAATGAAGAAAATGTTCTAAGACAGATTGTGGTGGTGGTGATTCTGCAACTCTTCTTGATGTGATTGAAATATTTAATTGTACGATATGTGAATGCTATGCCAATAAAGCTGTTGAGGAGAAGAAAGCTGAACCAATAAGCAACAGCATGATAGAAAATATAGAAGCTATTAAGGATTGCTTTACTTGGATCCACAATCAACGCCCACAGAACTCAAGAAATCAAAAATGTATTAAACAAATCTGTGGCAAAAGGACAAAGGTGGACCTGCCCTGGTGGCATAGTGATCCCACACTGGGCTGTAATCTACAAGGTCAGCACTTCAAAACTACCAGTCACTCCACTGGAGAAAGACAGGACTTTCTACTTCCGAAACACGTTGAAGTCTGGGAAGCTCACAGGGACAGTTGTTCCCTATTCCATGGGTCGCGATGAGTCGGCATCAACTCTGTGGCAGTGAGTTTGGTTTTTGATTGGACCTAAACTGTGGGGTTTTTAATTACCTCATGTGCATGTGAAACTTTGATAATGAATAAGGAAGCGCAAAGAAAAATTAAGCCTTGAACTTCTGCCTTCAATGCCATCAGTTCTGGATCAAATGCTACCTCTTAAAATGGATCAATGTTGACCGAATCTTTTTTGTATACAATAACTCCATATAGTCATTCCAACTTCTTTTGATGCTTCTTGCATCATTCGATATTTTGCAACTTGAGGCTTGAATTTTTTCCTACTCTTTCAGCATGAGAAATGCTAATCATGTTCTTCCCTCTTGGTTTTCTAACTTGCTCTTAACACATTTCAATACAATACTTTACTTTCTTCTCAAGCTGCCTGTTGAAAATTTATATCCAGCCCTTTTACCCCCTCAGTTCTTCCATTTGCTTTACCTACTTTCGAGAGCAATCTGAAGAGTCTCTTCAGCCATCTGTTGTTTTGTCTTTCTTTTCTTTTTAGCAATCTTTTGCTTTCTTCGTGTATGATGTTCTTGATGTCTTCCCACAGCTCATCAAGTCTTCATCATTAGCGGGCAAGGCATCCAATCTATTCTTGAGGAGATGAGCTTTAAATTCAAGGGGATATACTCAAGGTTGTATTTACTTCTCATAGGCTTGTTTTCATTTTCTTCACCTTCAACTTGAACTTGCATATGATCAATTGATGGTCTGTTCCACAGTTGGCCCCTGCCCTTATTTTGGCCAATGAAGCTGAGCTTCTCCATTGTCTCTTGTGTTCCATTTGGTGAAGGCCATGTGTACAATTGCCATTTATGTGTTGGAAAAGGTATTTGCAAATAAAGCATATATCTTACCCCCCAAAAAAGCCATGTATTAAAGTATCCTGCCATTATTATAGAGTTGTTTGCTTCTACCTTCCATTCTCTAAGAATTTTTACTTACGTATTTTGAGGCTCTTTCACTGAGTACACAGATAATTATTATGGCTATGTCAATTGACTCTTCAATCATTGTTTAATGTCCTCCATTTCTCTTATGCTGGATTTTTCCTTAAAATCTATATTATCTGAAATTAATATTGCCACTTCCACTTGTTGAATTCCATTTACTTGATATTTTTTCTATCCTTTGATTTTTAGTCTCTTGTAGACAGCATCTTGATGGATCATTTTTTCTTATTCCCAGGGCTGCTTACTGTCTCTTGACTGGTGCATTTAATCCGTTTTCAGTCAGTGTAATTATTTATATGGGTGAATTTATTGCTGTCATTCTGCTGTCTGTTTTTAGTGGTGCTGCTGGTTTCTTTGTTCCACCTAATTTTCTATGCTTGGTTCATTTTATTTGTGGGCTTTCTAATCATCTCTTTCATTGCTTTAGTTTTTACTACATCTTCACAATTTTCTTTTTTATTTTGAGGAGGTTTATTAATTTTCTTTGAGATTACCCTGTAATTTATTAATTTCTTACCAATTTTAAAACAGTCTATTTAAAAATCTACTTGACTACATTTGGAAGTTCTGTAACTATATTTTTCATTCCCTCTTTTTACTGTATAATAGCCTTCATTCGAAAATGGAAACTTCTAGTTCCCTATTTTCTGTCTTGTAGATTTGGTGGCAGCTGAGTGCTTAACCACTGCACCACAGGGGCTCCTTCTTCAATAGTTAGGCTCATGCAATTGTGGTGGCTGTAAAGTCCAGGCTTTATAGGTCAGGCAATAGGGTGGAGGCTTCTGCTGGCTCCAGGATTGTGGGGGGCTGATCAGTCCAAACCCTGTAAGTCAGATACATCAGAAAAGACTCACCAGGTCAGAATTTGGCATGTTTACAAGCCCAGATCAACAAATCAAGTGATGAGAAGAGTGTGGAGTCAAGAGAGAAAGACAAAGACAAAGCAAGGTCTGCCATGGAACCTATGAATTGTCTGAAGGCAAGCTATTATACCCTTAGGAACTCCCTTTTTAACTGGTTGGCTGCTTGCTTTACATGATATTGCATTACATTATGGGAGTGATTACATTGCATTATACAAGAGCAACTAATCTAGTGTTTGGGAGCCATAGTCCAGTCAAAGAGGGATGTACAATGAATCATCACAGTACAGAGTGCCCACATTCCAAGGGTGCCCAGTAGACACCTTCCTTCCAAGCCCTGCAGTTCTCAGAGGCACCTGCGTTTTCCCAGAAGCCATGTGTTTCTATTCAAACGGAAGCATTATACACACCTCACTGTTCTAAAATTGGGAAGAATTTTCTACACTTGGCTTTTTCCATTTAAAATATCTGAAGGAGTGTTCCATATCAGTTTTTTTTTTTCAAAAGAGCCTCATTCTTTTAAATGGCTGCCAAGATTCCACTATGAGGGTGTACCATAAATCATTTAATCAGGTCTCCACTGTGGATAGTGAGGATGTTGCCAATCGGTCCTTTGTTCTGACAAATTGCAGTAGTCAAGTGTTCAGCTGCTAAAAAAAAAAAGAGTAAAAAAAACCCACCAGGTGCTCCACAGAAGAAAGAGGTGGCAGTCTGCTTCCCAAACTAAACGCACGCCATGGAGTCAACGACAACTCATCGAGACCTGACAGAGTAGAACCGGCCCTGTGAGTTTCTGAGACTGTAACGGTTTACAAGGGGAGAAGGCCCCAGCCTTCTCCCGCGGAGCCGAGGGTAGTTTCCCACTGCAGCCCAGCGGGGAACCACTCTGCTACCTGGGCTCCTCCGTGAAGACTGGACCCTAGGATACTCAGAGAGACTCTGTATTGTTCAACACACAGCTCTCTATAGGGTGGCTGTGTATCTGAAGCCACTGGACAGACACAACAACAAAGGGGGCCTTTGAGGGTGGCATGACCGTGGTAAAATTTGGCCAGGTTGCCCTGTCCTTCTGAGAAACCCTGCTCTCCTGCCCGTTACACCACTGCCCAACACACATACCAAGACTCCGGAGGAAATGCCTCCGACCAGGTGTCAATAGCAAACGCCCCCTGAAATTCTGAGAACCCTGGATGAAGGAAAGAGCCCAGGAAATTTTCAGGAGAGCCAGTCCCCGCCCCACTCATCAGGATTGCCGGGACAGCATTTGGAGCCCAGCACACCTGAGCGAGCAAGGAATCCTGGCCTGGACTGCAGAGGCCCAGCTAATCGGCGGCTCCGGGGCCGGAGCGGGTAGGGAGTGGGGGAGGTGAGGCACTGGAAGGGGTGGGGACCTTCGGGTTGGCCCGGGAGGGACGGTGTCCGGTGTGTGCGTGCGTGGGTACCAGGCGTTGAAATGCCCGCCCCGTCGGGGCAGCAGGACAGAGCCCAGGGCGCGCGCCGAGCCTCCCTGGGTCTGGATCTCCCAGTCGGAGCCATGGCGCAGAACTCGGACAAAGTGCCCATCGCCCTAGTGGGGCCTGACGACGTGGAGTTTTGCAGCCCCCCGGTGAGTGCAGCCCCGCTGGCTTAGTCCCCACACAGGGCCAGGTCGCTTGCGGGTCTGGACCCACTGCGGGGGTGGGGTGTGTGTGTGTGTGTCAGAGATTGGTACCAGCGAAGAGGTATTGATGGCGAAGGTGGGGGGGAGGGTGCAAAATGGTGGGCTCCCCTGTGTTGGCGGCGTTGGATGCGAGGGCTCGCGATCCACAGACGGATGCGGAGGGGAATGGTCCTGAGGGGCGCCTTGTGGCCGGCCAGGGGTGCAGCTCTGGGGCGGGGGTGGGTCGCGCGGTCACATCTGAGTCCCAGGGACCTGGGAGGGAGGAGGAGAAGCGCTGAGCAAAGGGGTGCCCTTGATTCCGCGCGGTGCGGGCGGTGTGGACGCGACCCTAGACCCTGGCCTCTCCGCTGGCCCGCAGGTGTACGCCCCGGCGACCGCGAAGCCCGCGGGCCCCGCGCGGCTGCTCCAGGCCGGCGCCGTGGTCCTCATTTCCGGAGCCGTGCTGCTGCTCTGTGGGACCATCGGCGCCTTCTACTTCTGGAAGGGGAGTGACAATCACGTAAGTCCCGAGGGCGGCGCGGGGCTGGGAGGCGCACAGGCTGGTGCGTGCCCTGGGTCTCCCCAGGATCCCCCCCAGGTTGAGCCCCAGGGCTCCCCAGAGGACTCTCCTGCGCCCCCATCGCGGCACCTCTCTGTGTCCTCTCCCGGGAACCCTCATCCTCCATCCTGCTGCCGCCCACCCCGCTCCCCTGCTTTCTACGCTTAACAACTTTGTACGCAAGCAACTTCGTACACAGGCCGGCGGGATTTTAAAGGGTGGTGTCAAAGTCTAACCCCCAACCAAACTCATTGTCCCGGAGTCTATTCCCATTCAAAGGCACAACCCTGCAGGAACAGAGAGATGTCAGCCTCTTAGCTTTTCCAAGGCTGCCATGTCTTTGGAAGCAGACTCCCACCGCTGAACCAAGGACGTTTCCGGTAGCAGCTCAGTACTTAACCGTTGTGCCACAAGGCTCCATCAAAACAAACCCACCACTGCCATCGCGTCGATTCTGGCTCATTAGTGACTTGATAGGACAGAGGAGAATTGCCCCTTCGAGGCCACAAATCTTTACATAAGCAGACAGCCACATCTTTCTCCTTCCTAGCACAACTGGTGGATTCGAACTACTAATGTTCCACTTGGCGACTCATTGCCTAACCCACGATCCCACCAGGGGTCCTTAGAATATCATGTAGTGGCACGTGCATCTCGACTCTCAAAGGCCTTTCCCGCCTAGGAAAGCCTGGGAGCACAGGAACCTAGTCGCTACCTTTCAACTCCCTCGAAGCTCCTGGGAGTTTCCGAGACTGTAACTCTACAACACTTCATCTCTCTTCCATGGAGCTGTTGGTAGTTTCCAATCGCTGACCTTGTGGTTAGCCCAACGCGGAACCACAGCCACCAGGACAAAGCTAGTGGAGGAATATTCAAGCTCCGATAAACAAACTCACTGCCTTTCCATCGATTCCGACTCGTAGCGACTCTATAGGACAGAGTAGAACTGTTTAAAGTCGTTTGTTTTTCATAATCTCACTGACATATAACTCACCTATCATACATTTAAATAGTTCAATCACATTCATAAGAGTGGTGCAACCGTCGCCATAATCAATTCTGGACCATTACTTTTCACGGAGTCAGGAGCCTGGTCTTTCTCTCCAGGAGTGTCTGGTAATTTCCCACTGCTGATCTCCCACCACACAACCGCCAGGTCTCCTTGCAGAAGAATATTAAGACCCAGCCATTAGAGAGGAATCTCTTTTTTTTTTTTGAGAGGAATCTCTTTCTGGGAGATTTTGTCATATGTTTTTAATGGCTCTGTGACCTCTCCAGCAAAGCTCCCTTTTCTGCAGTGCTTTTTTTTAAGCCTACCTTCCTTAAAGGTGGAAAATGGCATTTAAAACATGTTCTGACCTGGTCACGTGCAATTTAGTGGTCAGTGTTTCACTAACTGCTCTGCTGTCCTTTCTTTGCATGTAAACCCCCAGGGGGCTCTCAGGGAGTAGGGAAATAAATGCGTCCAACTTCACTGGGCAGGATTCCAGTGCGTTCTCTAAAGACTCTGCATTTTGTTCACCTAGGTAATGGGAGACATTGTCTCCTGATGACCACGTGCCAGGTCGGGTATAAGCTTCTTTCTACTAGTGGAAAATAATTCCATGTCCAGGGTGCACACAAAGGGCTCTTTCTTAATCACTATCCTCATAGGCTCTGTTGTCTGCTGCTTCCCCCACCCCCTCCCACCACGAAATGCAGCCTGAGTGCATTCCAGTACTTAGAGATAATGGTGCCGAAAGCAATTCAACCATTTTACACATCACATCTTGCGCAGTCACTGCACAATTTGTATTTTTAACTCAAATGCCTAATGTAGATAAGCATGCCACTTAGCTGAGTCTGGTTGAGAGACTATATCAAATTTGCAAGCATTGATTTGTACGATCGGGATTGCTCAGTAGTTTGTGTATATTTGAAAAATGCCTTAATGTATTTGTGTTTTAAATATAGAAGCTGGGCCAGATGCTCATATCTGAAGCCCGCCGATCTGAACACGAGAACGATTTCACTATCTGCATCTCTGTTAATAGTGGAGTTGAGATTGTCATCCTTTGGGAACCCTGGTGGTATTGGAATGTAAATGCTATCCTTTGATAATAAAGCCGCAGTGGAATAAGCCATTTGAGGGACAAAAATAGCTTTGCCTTTTGGGGGGAGCTAAGGATTTTGATCACAAATACATCAAAATAAATGTCATTTGGCATTTAATTACTCAAGACACAGAAGGAGCTGACAGGCTTTTAGAAAGCAAGACGGACCGTTCACACGGAATGAAGGGAACTCCTTTTACCTTATTGTACTCGACTGCAAGCTGGGTGGTGGTTTGGTTCAAAAGAGCAGAATTAAGAGTCCAAGAATGCCGAGGAATGGAGACTCACCTTTTATTGCCGACAATCAGAGTCACTGCTCCTTGCTACACCTGCAGAAGCACGGAGAAAACCATGGTCATTTCCACCCGCCTGGCCCCACCCACAGATCTCTGAGGTCCATCCATAATATCCAGGTCTGGGAAACATAGCACAAAACACTACAGAGGGTAGATTTGCCACTATCTATGCATAGCCTGCTTTTCCTGCATCCAAATCTAAATAACCCAAATAAAACCTAATCAAAAGAGGTAAATCTCTGTCAAACAGGAAGCTATTCCCCAACCAAATGGGTTATCCACACCGGGTGTGTGTGTATGTGTGTGTGCACCTCTGCTACTTATATTGGCTCATGGAAGAGAACCAGCAGTAATTCACCTGCTTTCCCCCCTTCGATGGGCCATTCCCCCACAGGATTCACTTGAATTTACTTGGAAGACAATGAAGCATCGGCGTGCTAATAATCGGGGGGAAATTGACTGGGCTCCAAGATGAGGCCGCTTCTCATCCATATTACTGTAAATGGAACAAGGCATTGAAATATGGCGAATCCCATCAAGATGAAAGAGCAGACAATCCTTGCCCTCTGGGCCGAGGGGAGGGGGGTTGTTGCCTGCAGCCTTTCTTCTCCGATGGGACTTACTAGACCCATCTTTCCAAACACTGTAATTAATCATAGAGAACCCAGGCTTTATTAAACACTCATTAGCAAATATCCGTGATTGTAAAAGGCACCATACTGAGCAGCATTTTGGAAAATAGCAACTTCATTGCGCTTGGATAGAAATAGCTTCAGGTGCCAACCGTTTCTTCGGCTGAGAGTAGATAATGCGATTGCCACTCCACTAGTCCAGCCTCCTCCTGAGCTCTGGAAGCCAGTGTTTCAGCAGTCACTGCAGATGGGCCACCCATTGCTTTGGAGGGGCACAAGCCTCTCACTGCTGCCCCCTGCAGATGGGGCACTGATATCTAAGATGGGCTAATGTTGCCTTCGAGAGCATGCAATCTCTATCGAGGGATCCTTTGCCTTGGGGGGTGCAGGGGAAGGGAGGTAGTTCCTGGGTGGTACAAATAGGCAACACACTCATGTCTTAACAGTGAGGTTGGAGGTTCCAATCCACCCGGAGATGCCTCATAAGAAAAGCCTGGCTATCTCCTTCCAAAAAAATCAGCCACTAAAAACCCTGTGGAGCACAGTTTTACTCCAACACACATGGAGCTGCCACGAGTCAGTCGGTTTGATGGCACCTGGTACTGGTTTGCTGGGGAAGGAGGCAGCGAGGGGTGAGGGTGGAGGAAAGTGTCTTGAGAATTACAGCCCCTTTTCTGGTCCTAAAATCACGCGAAGAATTTAGAAAGCGTTCATTTCTTAGATACAGTGCTACCTTACTGGTGAATGCTTGTGTACAAGGCTTCACAGAGAGGAGCCTTAGGAGGTGCAGGGGTGGCTGGCCATGGGAACCCATGTGAAATACTGACCACTCAGCCAGCCGGGACACCACACCAAGCCTGCTTCTCAGCCTTACCTGTAGAATTGTAGAAAACACTGGCTCAGCCAAAGGAAACGGGGTTCCCAAGCTTCTGCATAAGGACCACCTGAGGTGGGAAGACAGCTGGAGCTCTGCTCCAGCTCCAATTCAGACCTTCTAGAAGGGGTTGTGGTGGCCAGCCCAGCTTGGGAGGCCAGGAGTTGCAGGACTTGGTAGTTCTCCGAGGAAGGGAGGGGAGGGGAGGGTTGAGAGATGGCTGAGTGGGAAAACCAGTTACTGCCCGGCTCCATGGAGCCCTGGTGGCATAGTTACCCATTGGGCCGTGGTTCACAAGATCTGCAATTCCAAACCACCAGTGGCTCCTGAGGAAAAAGAGGAGGCTTTTTACTCCCGTAAAGAGTTAGCATCGCAGACACTCACAGGGCCAGTTCTACCCTGTCCTGGAGGGTCTCGGTGAGTCGGCTGACTCCTGGCCCTCCGTGCAGGTCGGAGCAGAACTGTGCCCCATAGGGATTGCAATGGCTGTTTTTTTTGAGGTACATGTTCAGGGCCTTTCCATGCCCACCACCTGTGCCTCTGGGCAGACTCAAAACTTCAATCTTTTGATTAACTCTTTGCACCATCTAGGAAAAGAGGATGCCAATACAAGGATACTAAAAGTAGGAGCAGAAATCGGATCTGATATGAGGGCTTCAAAGAGTTCATGGGAAATGGAATTGAAAGTCATATAGGGAAGAGGAGGAGCAAATATATGATCGTTTCCATATATGATCAATAAAAAAGTTTTCTAATGAATAAGTTTACTGCCATCGGGTCAATTTGGACTCAGAGCAATCCTATAGGGCAGTGTAGCTCTACCTTTGCAAGTTAAAAAAATTTTTTAATTGGTTTTGAAAGGAGGAAAAAATGTTTTCATCTGCATGATCCACAACAAAACAAATGTACTGCCATTTATTGATGCTCGATTTTTCTCCCTCAGAGTAACTGGTGTTTTGAACTCCTGACCACCAAGGCCCCTCTTTCTATGCCCCCAACACACACACACACACACACACACACACACCTAGAAAGATCTACCTTGGCAGCATCCTGTCCTCTAGCCTTCTGCCCTTTTCAGGAGCACTACAAAATATATATATTTAACTCCTAAAAGAATATCTAAGCTTGGCGAAGCCCCCGGAATCATCTGATTTAGTGATCAACTTAGAATAAAAAGAAAATTTAAAGGGGGACAGATCAATTTTTCCTAACACAAACGAACTCGGAAACCCAGCACATCAAGCAGATGGAAGAACCACGCGCCTGTGGTTGAACTGTGAGACGCTGGGAGAAGGGAGCCTCCCGGGCCCTCCTGCTTTCCTTCTTACCTTCGCCTCCAGGCCACCGAGGGGCACCTAAAAGGTCTGGGGACACCAATAAACATCAGACCCTGTGAGATCGGACATCTTCACTGTCCTCTGCAGGCAGCTGCCAGGAGCAGTGCCAGTGAGTGGTCTCCTGCGCCGTCTTCCACGGAGCTGAGCCCCTGCCACACAGTTCATCCTAACACAATGTCCCTGTCCTGTCATTAAAAAGAGACTCCCTCCTTTGAGCTGAAACAGGTGTGCAGGTGACCTTGTTCTCTCAAAGTGCAGCTGTCTGTCGGGCATGTACTTGGACATGTCTTCAGGAGAGACAATCCCTGGAGCAGGGTGTCAGCTTCTTAAAGTGGAGGACCAGCAATAAGAGGGGAAGGGCTTTGCGGAGCTAGATTGACGCTGTGGCTGCAACAGCGGGCTCAAACAGAAGAACCACTGTGAAGATGGCGCGAGGCCGGGCAGGGTTGTGTTCTGTGTACAGAGGGTCGAGACGAGTTGGACTTGAGCAACAACAGGCGGCCTATCTGTGCAGTCTGCATCCTTCCTGCAGGCCACACTCTGCTCAGACTCGGCCACAAGGAAAAGTCCTCCTCCAACGAAGGTGCTTTATTAGCAACGTGGCTCACTCCCCCGGCTGCTGCGCCCAATTAAGCTCTAGAAAAGAAACACCTCTGCCCAAGGGCCACCATCACCAGGCCCAAACCACGCCCACTGTCATCAAGGAGATTCTGCCTCACAGTGGCCCCATAGGACAGAGCAGAGCAACCCCTTTGGGTTTCCGAGAGTGCAACTCTTTATAGGAGCAGAAAGCTTCATCTTCCTCCCTCTGAGGAGCTGGTGAGTTCGAACTGCTGGCCTTGTGGTGAGCAGGCTGATGTGTAACCCTCTATGCCACCAGGGCTCCTCTGTCACCACCAGCCTCTCACAAAATAAATAGCAAAGGCCATCCAGTCTATTCCAACTCATGATAATCCCATGTGTGTGCCAGGGAAGAATCACAATCCATGGGGTTTTCAATGGCTTTGGCCTTTGGGAGGTAGATGGCCAGGCCTTTTTTCTGACGTACTCCCAGAGGGGGTTCGAACCACCAACCTTTCAGTTCGTAGCCACACATAACTGTTTACATGACTCAGGGACTCCATTCCCAGCCCTAGAGGTTATGATCTGATGAATCCAGGATAAGGAAACCCAGACAACATCGCTAAAAATTCTACCCAGAAACGTCTAAGGTGTAGCCAAGCTTGTGAATCATTAAGCTATTTCAGATTGTATCAGGGAGCACCGGAGGTTTTACTTTTAAGGTATTTTTTTATCACTATAAAATGTTTAGTGTGTGGATGAAGTCCTGGTACATGAATGTGTAACGATTAAGGATGCTTCAGTGTCTGAAAAATATGGCAACTGCCTCCCATGCTGCAGGCCTTAAGGATCAGCCCAGCATTGCTCAAACAAGAAAGGCGCCGCTAACACTTCCGTTCCCTTCCAGATTTACAACGTCCATTACAGCATGAGTATCAATGGGAAATTACAAGATGGGTCAATGGAAATAGATGCTGAGAACAACTTGGAGACCTTTAAAATGGGAAGTGGAGCTGAAGAAGCAATTGAAGTTAATGACTTCCAGAACGTAAGTCTATTTCATGCATTTAGAGAGTTTAACCAGGCAAGCCTGGGGACTTTTCTACGGTCAGGGAGGAGCAGCTTTCTCTCGCAGCGCCAAGCTGGGAATGTGCTTCCTGCAGCTGATCCACATCGAGCGCAGCCCATCGCTGCAAGAAAGGAACCCGCTTTGGCCTTTACAATTCCAAAAGAAGCAACCCCTTGGCAGAATGACTGCAACTCCATTTTCCCTAATGTTGTGAATAACAGCCAAACCACACACGCACACGCACACGCACGCACGCACACACACACACACACACACCCCAGAATGACTGCAACTCCGTTTTCCCTAATGTTGTGAATAACAGCCAAACCACAC